TCAGTGTTTTCCACACTGCATTTGTAGTGGTGACATACATTTATATAACATTGATATTCTACCAGACATTAATTCTAGCAGATAATATCCTAACATTTATAACCAAGTCCATCCGTAGGGAAGTCTTTGTTGACAGACATTAACTCTTGATTTCTTTACATGGTCTTATGCCTGAAATATTTATCATATGGTCATCTGATTTATAGTAACTAATCTGGCCCATTTAAACCTACATATGCCTAGTAGGCTTCATTTAGTAGGCTTCATTACTGCTTTGACCATTTCAATTTTCCCTTGGTACATGCTTCTCACTTTATGTATATGTCCTTGAAAGACGAGGAGCTTCTCTTTTAATACTGGCATCATCAGCGGCCTAGCTTTGGATGGTCATATCATCCCTTCAGGTTCCTTCCCAGTAATTATAGAGATTCCCTTTCGATATGAGATTTTCATCATCTGGCATAAATTTGTTTCAGTTTTCAGCCATGGTTTCACTTTTGACATGCTGATACTTTGTAACTAATAAACATGTTCTTTGAGGAATTTCCAAGCCTTGGAGTTCTGCTTTATTCATCTCTGTCAGTTGGAACCATGACACCATATTCATATAATTTTCTTCACAGTAGTAGTGGTTTGCCATTGCCTTCTACCAAGTTTGATTTTGGAATTCGTTCTTCCAAGTGGATTGGCTGTCATCTCATCTGCAGGGCCCCATCTTCCCTCATGCCTGTCATGCATTATCTTAACCTCCTTTTCAGCCAAGATCACCCTATCAAGAGTTCCAAATCCACCAGCATTACTTTCAGATAACATGAAAGTTACCAAGCCATCCCATCATGTCAGGTTCACACTATGTCTATTCACAATAGACATAACTGAGCTTATCACTCTGTAATATTAAGTATGATATTGTAAGGTTTCTTGGCATGTCTCCTAAAATGCAAATTTTATTTTAGATTGCATCATCTGCTTTACTGAATCCCAAATCATAGATGAAGATTTTAGGAGTCTTTAAAAAGGATAGTCAGTATTCTTAAAACATGCATCCACAGTGATGGTGCAAATAATCTCTTGATAGAGTTATGATTGCTCATTAGTGAAAAAGCACAAATGAAATGATTCAACTGATGGGACAACTCTCATCCAATTTTTAGCTATTCTAGTGATTATCCCTTAAAATGTTCCATTCCTTCAAAATTAGTTTTTGATATCCATTTCACTTCATAAAAACTCTTCTCTCAAATCAAAAGGGTCATGGACTTTGGCCCCTCTCCATCTGGTGACATCATGATGCTCACATCTGTTGATACTTGGAAACCAAACAATATTTATATTTTGAAGTGTGGTCCTGATCTTAAAAGTAGGTGCCCACCTGTTTATTTTTTCAAAGCATCGCACTGTTCCATCCCCAAGCGTTTCCTCATTCTCAGAGTAGAGAAATTATTTTTTATATTGTGCTGTTCTGAAGCATTATGCTTTCTAACACAGCTGTGCAATGCTTTGTGTTTTATTGCCATGCCAACTTAAGAAAATATGCAGCTGCTTTAAAGCATGCAAAGAGATGGTGCATTCTCACTCCCAAAGGTTTTTGGGAATCTAATTCAAAGCATGGTGCAGACCTAGTATATTAAACCTTTTGCAATTGAGCATATAATGCTCAGTTCAGTTTCATTTTTAAAAAATATCTTATATTTTGTATTTACAGAATTTGCAAGAGATTAGAAGCAGAGGCATGGGGAGATGTACATAATTCCATGCTTTTGATTTTTTTTTTTTTTCATTTTCTCTTTGCAAACACAAACAAACAAAATATAATAGAAAGCAATAAACCTGAATGTGACCTCCATTATATTTTGAAGAATTACAGGAGTCAAATGTTATATGAAGAGAAAAATAATAATATCCCTTATTAAGAAGATAATAATTGTCCTTTGTATTTTTCCTCTACTGATATAACTCAGATTCACTAATATTATGACAAGTTTTGAAGCTCAGGCCTCACTCACCGAAATCATCTGGATATAACAGGATTTAATATTTGAGCTTTTCTGGCTCCCTCAGGATCATTTCTTACTTACTTCCTGAGTTGGGCAGCCATTGTTGCTAAATCAGAAAATTGAGAATTGTAAGTTAAGAAAAATGGGCACAGGCCAGTGGTGGGATTCAGCCAGTTCACACCACTTCAGCAGAACCGGTAGCTAATTTTCTGTTGCCCAGGCCCAGAATGGACTTCCGGAAGTGGCATCCACACAGAGAACCAGTTGTTCATATATTTGAATCCCATCACTGGCACAGGCCATTGCTTATTGGTTCTGATGTATTGTAAAATCTAGATTCCTTTCTTGAATTGGGAATTCAAGTGAGAATCAAGGGGGTGGAGGATATATGTTGGGCATCATAAAGTCATTTTACAAAATGTCCAGATATCTTTTTTAAAATCATTTTAAAGAGACTGAAATTTCCAGGATCAAACATGGCTTAAGAGTTCAATTGTCTTGGCATAGTTCACATGCTGTCTTAAGAAATAAGCACATCTTTCCTCTTCTTCTGGAGGATTAAATGAATCAATTTTATTAAAAACCATGTATTATTTATTAAATGTAATTATTCATATCCTACCAAATGCCCACAAGCTTCCTTGTCTTGGCCCCTTTTATATGTTGTGATTTAATTGCTCTCTTCTGTGATAGAAGTCCAGATTAAGTGGCTTTTTAAAAAAAATATATTTTTGTAAAAATTAAAATTCTCCATGACAATTTACAAAATGTCATTTCCTTCTAAAGAATGGCAATACATGCACAAACTTTCTCAAAATCCAAGTATTACTTTTTGGCTGGAGGAAAATATTAACACAAATGTAAATGATAGAGTAAAAAATGAAGCAATCTATATTTGCAAGCAGGTCAACACAGAAAACATAGGTCTGAGATTGGCAATTTTTTCAGGTGGCAGGGGCCATCAAGCAATTTTACATAATGACACAAATCACAGGAAAAATAGAATTAAAATCATCAATTTTTCACAAGTTCCTCCAATCTCGTGACATTTTGGCAATCTCACTATGAAATCTGCGGAGATTTTGTCATTTGCATCTAAGATCTCATGATATTTCAATATTCTCACCTTACAAATCTTACAAGATTTTGAAGACCAGTATACTCTCTAGTGAATTAGCAATCCCACTGAAATTTAAACTTTTACATTAAATTTTAGTTTTGCATTAAAAGTGTGGTTGCTTGGATATTCCCTGGAAATGTTACAAACTTAGTGCTGTTGCCAGTTGTCATTAGATTTTGAATACAGTTATAGTAAAGTTAATGAGCATCAGGTACTTGGCACTATCCATTTATAACTGCTTGATCCAACAGACTTCAATTTAAAAAAAAAAAGCCAGATAGAAATAGATATTGTTAAAACTCAGTTTGCTAATTTGGTAAGGTACAATATAATGCCATGCCAGGCTATTTCTGTATGATCATTTTTCTTTCAGATAATTGTAAAGATAAATGTAAAATACAGTAATTAATTCCTAAATAAACTATAGAGTCAATATAGCAGGGATAAACTACAGGATTATAAGAATCAAAAGTGATTTGTCCACCAATTTTACTTACTGCACAAAGTAGTAAGTAGAATCAGATCACCCTTCCCTAAAATTATATAACAGGAATAAGAAAGCAGATCAACTTAGGAAGAAACATTATCATTACTATTTTTATCAAATTTACTTGCCACCCATCTCACAGTTCAAGGCATCCTAATGTTATTTGTATATGTTATGCTCTTAAAAATTTTTAAGTCTCAGAAAGTTTTCAAATTATTTACTGATAAATACATTTGATTGTTATATGGTCTCTTTTAAATGAGGAGATTGATTACTAATTACCGTTATGAATCAATGAAACTACAGACTGTGTTGCACAAGTCTGAGCATTAAATTCTAGCATAAGAACAGAATATATTAGGCTCCAACAATTTTAGTTTAAACTGTGTAGAGACACCTCTATGTCTAGCCAGCTATCTTATGTAATAAGCATTGTGCAACTGAGAGTTTGAATGATACAATTATAGTGTGTCAGTTCCTCAGAAAAGGTTACTTTTACATAAGTGATTCCTTCTTGGCCACAGTGAATTATGCCATATGTCACCTATATTCTTAATATACTAATTTGTACTTTAATAACAATTTTAAAAGAGCACTTTAAATTGCTTTGAGATTGTGAAGCAAGTCACACAGAGGAAACAAAGTCAGCTCTCTTTAAAAACATGCAGATGGAAACATGTTTACAAGCCATTTTTAGTCATGTGCCATGTATGTTTGTTTTTCCAATCTCATTTGATTATCCAGAGATATCCAGCATCCTCTGCTGCCATAGAAATATGTAGGGGGGGGGCGGGCGGGGAGGGAGAAGAACCATCAGTCAACCTCTCGGCACATGGATTTTTACAGTGGAAAAAAAAATCTATGTTCTGCTATCACATTTTCATTGCATGCTATGTGTGTCTGCATAAAACGAGTGCCACTGTTTTGTATATACGGAAATGGAAACGTAAGGATAAGTTTGTTCAAAATTCACACTGGAAAAAAAAAAGTAAGACAAGAAAGCTAGAAGTTACTCCAATACCGTGATCTGAATCATTGTGAGTGCCAGCCTCAGAAAATGTTGTGAGTTCTAGGCAGCTAGATGAGAAACAGATCACTTGGGTGCCAGCTTCCATCCTACTAGATATAATCACATTTTTAATTACAGATATCTGCTTACAAAGTTAGGAGCCATGTTTCTAGCAAGCTAACATTCTCTTTTTTCTGTTTTCCCCCCATTAACATTTTTTTTCTTTAAAAAGGGTGCCCTGCACTTCACCAAGCTACCCAGAACAAATGTGCTCCTTTTTCCCCTCCCCCATACTGTTACCACCTAGTTTTGGAACTCTACCGAGAGATTTCATGGCAACGAAAGCATGCTTAGTGTTTCAATAGCCTTCTGCTTATATGTTTGAAGATTCGAAACTGAATGGGGAGGTGGCCAAGGCAGCGCTGGCAAACGAAGAATGTCCCCACATAGACCAGGCTATGTCGCCTGAGGAAGCTCTGCCATTTACCCATTCTGGCACTCGGGAGAGATATGGACCTTGCTTCCTCTTATCAACCGGGGAATATCCCTGCCCGCCTGATGGAGGAATAAGAAAGGGTATGTAGATAAGGTCCGCTAATCACATAGATAGTAAGATAGTTTAAGATCTGGTTTATTGAACAGTGTTAAGTTTGTTTGAGAATATTAGTTTCTTGCACTAAAAGTAACAGCCAGACATCTTAATCCATTCATCAGATAAGAAATGGCAATGGCTGAAATTTGCACTTGCAATTTGTAATTATTTGAAGATAATTCTACCTGATAAAGATGTCCAACGTGTTCTTTTATTGTGAATTATGACCTTAGTGGTTATATGACTCCACTTCAGATTTTTTTTTCCCCATACTGTTGTTATTATGGCAGTACTGGGCCAGCCTGGTGCCCACTCTTTCATCACCACAGTTATTTTCAGCCCTACAATTTTGCTGTTAGTTCCTTCTTTAACTCTTCTTTCCCATAAGATTTGCAGAGGCAAGAAGGAAGCTTCTTTGTGGCAAATGCAGTTCTTTGCAGAGGGAAAGTGGTCATTAAAATATCTCTTTACCATTTCTCCTGGCAGAAGCTCATGTCCCTAATGGGCTTCAGGATCCTAGTTTGTAAACCACCAAGTTAAGAAAAACTCCATCATTAAACAGGCTCATCATCAAGAGACAGTATCTCTTCCTACTTATTCCTGAAACACTTGGAAATATTACATTGTTGAAGTTAGTAATTAGAAGCTAATTGGACAATGCAGGCATATTCTATTATTTGTCCACCTCTGGTGAAAATTCCTAGTTTGATTAAAAAGGCATAAATGCTTTATAGTTCAGAACAATAGCCACTTTTCTCATACTAGCATCAAAATTCTACCACCATTTTATGCTCCCGTGTTCAGTTGTATTAACTGATGTTGAATTTTTATTTTTTACTGCAGTTTATTGCTGAGCTTCCCAAATATTTCTTACAATATTTTCTGCACATGTGAAAGTAAAATAAGCAAATGGTGGCATACTTAATCTAAATCCATGAGAATTAAAATCTCAGTTTTGTTAAGGTTCCACCTATGATAATATTAACAAGTTGCCTATTTAGAAAAACTATATTTTCTTCATTTAAGTCAGATAGACAAAGGCTCCATTGTGGCCATGGTGCTTCAAATGAGCAGTTCCTTCAAACTGAACAGAATATTGAATGGTATATTCAGTTAAGTAAATGCAGAACCTTGACTTGTACTTTGGGTGATTATGACAAAAACCTTGCGGATTGTAGCCGCAGAGTATAATAATATTTCTACAGACACTGCAAAAATTATGTGGCACAAATCAGTACTTTATTAAACCTGTAGGATGCATTGCATGTTGGCAGGGGGAAAAAAGGGACAGCTATAGAGTATACATGATTATAATTTCAAAGTTTAGTAATGATAAGATATAGCAGGATCATTGTACTTTCATATGAAAGTTTTTGCTTAAGTTTACCTTGGTAGCAAAGTGTTTTATACCTGATTTTATACTGGATACACGTTGGTCATTTTCATTCAGCTTGAGCCCTGGTTCTTGGTTCAGTGCTTTGGGAGCTGGCTTCTAGACCTTTCCTCTTTTAGGATGACAAATGGACAATTCTCCCAAAGCCACTGAAAAAATGAGACTCCACCCAGTTGATTGAAAGGATGGAGCCAGCTGGCCAAAGGAATGATAAATGTCAACATATTGTTGGCCTGTGTTGGGGTGGGTGGGGGGAATATATCAAGGACACCTTTAGTGTTTCTACGGAGTTTCATTCCATAGATTGCATAACAATGCCTCTGATTTGCTGAGCTGTTTGATGCATGACTAAAAAACTGGCAGAAGGAAGAGGAAACCAAATGCATGCAAAAATGCTGGTAAACAAATTGAGTAGTATCTCTATAGCAACAGAACTATAAATGCTTTTGATGGAGGGGGTGGGGAGATAGAGACATTTTTAGTATCAGATAATACAGTATGAAATGCCAAAGGTTCAGTACAATCACATAACACATAGTGACTTGCTAGTATTACAGTTTCTCTATGACAGATTGAGGGTTTACATTTATTTATTTCCAGCTCCTCTACAGCTCTCTCTATATCATAGCAGGGGGACCATTGAAACATAGGAATGTTTTTCCTCCACCATTTCCAGCCACAGCCATGTTGCAAGGGATACTACTCTTGGCATGTCAAAGCATGAAGGATGCTGCTGCGATCAGGCTGTACTTTATTGGGTTTGCCCATTCTGATGTTGATCCAATACTCTATGTTTTTGCCTCTTTTTTTCCTTTTAAAACAAGGTTTTGAAATGTTATAAGCCTTAACAGCTTAGTTTGCAGACATGGAAAAATGGTAGAAAGATCCTTCAAGCCTGGAATTCTTCGAACTTCATGAGACATTCTTGGTCTCCCATTCCATAGCATGGATCAGTAGCAAAAAATAGTCTTCTAGATTCTAGTATTCTAATCACAATAAAGCTAATAAAAAGAGGGGAAAGAAAAGCAATGACTTCTCATTAGCTTATGTGGTGTCACTTGTAAGCAGATCCTGATGTTTGAAAGTATCATGGCTTTTGATGGCATCTCATGGAGTTGATGTTACTACTGGTGTTAGTAACACTTATCTTGACCAGATCCTTCACCACGTAGAGCTAAATTGACACTATTAGTTGCTTTGGCAGGCCATAACACTGCATGTTTTTGATACATAAGATGCTACGCTGGAGGCACCACATAGTTTCTTGTGGTGGTGCACCCCATCCTGGTATGTGCTTTTCTCAGCTAATGGTAGATCCACTGGCTTTTTGAAGTGGGTTAGATTGTCATATAGTCCAGTGCTGAAACTTGCCAATGACTAAAGATTTTTGCTTTTCTCAGGATATTGTTGAGCCATAGGAACCTTACAAGAGTGTGAGCAAAATAAAAGCAGAAGGACAAAACTTTGCATGGTGTCTCTTCTATGTTGAAAGCAATAAGATACACTGTAGAGAGGTCTCTAGCTGGCTGGCTGACTGCATGGGAAAAAAATATTGGCGGAAAAGAAAATTGGCTGCCTCTGCATGTAGCTCTTTCTCCTTTCTCCTCCTTGCTATAAAACACCCAGCTTGGTTTGAAAAGCACAGGAGAGAAGCTCAAGTATTGATTATATTCTTTACATGCAGATCTTTGCAAAGAAAGTCCTGTCATTGCTAAATATATGCCAACAGAGGCAGTCAAAGTGACTTGACATGGAGAAAACGAGATGGACAATGATGGCTTATAAACGTCTGGGTGGAACTATGCAGGCATAGAAGAACTCTTCTTTGGACAAATGTAATCTCCCTCCATGCAAGTTTGCAGGATGATATATGTGGTTTCAAAAAGGGAGATATGCAGGATTTCTCTATGGCCAGAATGTAACAAATGGCAGATTTTTTTCGTTGTTGTTGTTTCATAGCATGAATTGCATGGGAAAAGAAAAAAGAAAACCCCTGAGATTGTACAAGTTAACTTACTTTACTATTAAAGGGGTGTTTTGGGGGGGAGGGTGGGGAGATAAAGTAATATATTTTCCTTCAAAGCTCTTTACTTTTACATATGTTGTGGTAGCAAACTGTAAAGATATTCTAAAGCCGTACATTCCTTTGCAATGGATTGATTATTTGTATACATGATCACAAGAATGGATGGTTTAAAAAGTGCAATTGGCAGTCACATTGACCATGCCTTCATAAATTCATCACGCAGGACATGAAAATCAAGAACTTTTCATCCAACTAGACTTGTGTAAAATGTACGAACAATCTTCTTTTCTTGTCTGTTTTTGTTGGCATGCTTGTGAAATCTGGGACCAGTTTTTGAACCTGATGGAAACAGCTGGTCTAAACTAATTTTCCAGCTCTGTACTTCATTGGTGTATAGATCCAGTGTGAAGACCCTTTATGACAAATTGTTTATATTAAGTGATCAGTAAAGAATTCAACCAAAAAGAAACCAACATTGTTTTTTTTAAAAGCAACAACAACACCTGGGGATTTACAATATACAAATCAGAAAACTACTTCAATATAAACTTATCTCGGAGTTTCAAGAAACAACAAAATGGCACTGTATGCAACTTAGAATTCCGAATAAAATGCATGCACAAGGTTATGCAAAATAATTCTAGCATGAAATAAATTTTGTATGATGGTTTCGATGCCCGCTGTATAGTGTAAATCAGAATTCCTTTCTGAAATGTCCAGAACTTCCCAAAGAAATGCTTTTGAAATTGTAAATAATCACCATACAAAGATTCCCAATGGAACTATAAGAGGGAAAAAGCTTTGGTTATGCTTTGCTTATAAGTTGGTGAACTGTTGAGAGTCTGAGGAAGTCACCTCCCGAATCCTTGATACAACTGATGTCTTCAATCTTCAACACTAATAAATATTTCCATAATTGAATAGATAAAGCCTAAAGAGTTTGGTAGATTTCACTCTATTTCTCCTTTCTCGATTAATAATAAAAGTTTGGCTTATTTAGTTGATCATGTGAATTCAGTTTTTGTTACTACTGTGGTTCTCTTAACAGCTGATAGTACTTAGAAAGTTGTAGAATTAGATACCTTTTAATCATACTAAATGACGTCTTAAATTACCTAACATTAAAGGTAGTCATGGAGTTTTGAATCATACCATTTAGAATTTTCATCATAAATTTGCTTGTAGTAAAACACTGAAGCAAAACATTACAGTTTCATCACATCATAAGACTTAACTAGGAAGAAGCTAAGGCTATTGATGATGATGATGGTGATGGCGATGGTGATGAGAAAGCTTAGGAGTGAAGTATTTCATAGAATAAACATAAGAAGAAAAACATAAGATAGTAGCAATAAGACTTACATGAATATACAAGATGCTTTACTTTTCCTTATCTCACTTCAAAAATTCTTTCCATTCCTTGAAACAAAAAAGGCAGGGGAAAAAAATCCAAAAGAACATAACTTTCTTATCCTTGAAAGTTTAGGTCAGTATATTTAATAAGAAAAGTGTGGCATCTAATGTAATAATTAGTATATGTAATCCACATTTCTAAATAGTTTTTTATAGAAGGCATTTATCCATAAAACATTTATTCATATATAGGAATGTATATGTATATTCTTCAGAATATTGTATAAACTGATAAGGCATGGATACTGCAGTATCAGGATTTAATCTACCGTATATGCCAGAGTTTAAGGCGAACCGGTGTATAAGACGACCGTCTTTGGTGCCAAATCACATGCCTAGAACGTCGTCTTATACGCCGGAAACTACCAGTATTTCCGGCGTATAAGATGACTTGGCGTATAAGACGACCCCCAACTTCAGCGCCGATTTTAACGCTTGCGGAAGTCGCCTTATACGCTGGCATATACAGTATTAATTTACATTGCTATCATAAAAACTCATATGTGCCTTTGTTTTTGTGTTAGTTTCCCAAACATCAGTATATAGTATAATATCAGAGCACATGAGAATCCGTATAAATCTTCAGTTTCCAGAACAATAATTATTCTGTGATGTAAGTCTAAAAGGGAATTACTTGAATATAGTATCACATGAACCAATGTGGTACTTTGAGCATATGTCCAGCAAGTAACTGAACCAATTAATTTGTTCACTAAATGGACACAAAGATGTCAAATAAACATAAAATCTTATGAAAATAATCATAATATGACATCAGTTTTAAAATGTGACTAAATGCCAACTTGGATGTCTCTTGTCATTTTTTTTTTCACATACTGGAAATCTCTTGAATATCTGCCTTTTAAAAACCATTTACAACTAGTTATTATAGCATTATTTTTCAAAGAACATGACTTTCATGGCAAAGAATTCAACACAGTCCACTAAAATTTGGCATTAAAGCAGGCTGGTTGTCTAATAAAGTTCTATTTGAAAGCTAAACTTTAAAGCAGCGGTTCTCAACCTGTGGGTCGGGACCCCATTTGGGGTCGAATGACCATTTCATGGGGGTCGCCAAACAACGCAGTCTGCCATTTTTTTCCCCTTTTCCTTAGCTGTGCTACTCCCTTTTATTCTATTGGCTTTTGAAAGCCAATAGAATAGACTCTCTTGAATAGAGTCTAATTCTATTGGCTTTCAAAAGCCAATAGGAATTGTCCAGGCTGTCTGCCCTGCTGAGCCCGCCAAAAGTCCCATTCTGCAAACGGTGCTGCAAGTTGTCTGCAGCGAAGGCGAGCTGTCTGGAAGTTTCCACCCCTCCCTGCTGAGCAACTACTAAAAATGTAAGTAAAAGAGAGCCAGGGGTGGGAGGTGGGAGGCCGGCAGGTGCAGGGAGGGTTGCTGGTGCGCGTGGGGCTCGGTGGGTGCCTTACCTCCCTTGGGCTGGGCCAGTTGGTGGCCCAGCAGGTGGTCAGCCTGCTCCATCTCTGCCGCTTGCCAGCTACGCCTCGGCCGGCACAGGGGGCGGCACCACGCATGCGTGGCGCTCCTGGGCAGGGAAAGTCCTTGACTTACGACCGGTTGGGTAGTCCTCGACTTACGGCCAGTTGGGTAATCCTCGACTTACGATCGGTTGGGGGTCGCGGCATTAAAAAGGTTGAGAACCACTGCTTTAAAGGAAGCAATCTTGTACTACCTAAGACAGCGACCAAAATCTCCTTGAGGAGAAGCAGAGGCTATTCCCAGAGGCAGTCTGTAGAATTGAAGAGCTCTAAAGCTTTCTTATTCTTCATCCATATCCTCAAAAGGATCTCCAAAACTACATCAGCCCTGAGAGAGGGACAGAGCATGGTCTCTGCAATCAATGGGATGGAGAAACAGCTAACTTTGAGTATAGAGGGCCTGTGAATGCCTTTCCCATTTTCCTTGGTATCTTTTTAAACCCCCTTTGTTGTTGGAAGTGGCAAAAGATTCTAGAGTAGGTGTTGATGTTTAGGATTGCATGTTTTTCAATCTCTCTGAAGCTCACACTGGAGAAAAGACTCATAGGAAGATTCCTCCCACACACACACACTGCTGTATTCCCTCTGGATTCAATGAAAGTGGGAGGCGGAAAACTGCTGAAGACATGATTGTACATGGAAAGATGGCATCTTTCATAGGCCCCTTGGCTACCTGGCAACTGAGTATATACTAGAAAATCATACTACACCAATGGGCATTTTGCTGAAACTTTCATTGGAAAGTAATTTCCAAAATAATTCCAAACTAAGTTCTTTTTCATCAAATTTGGTGATACCGAGATGTTTGGTCTCATATCTCTAGTTTTGACATATGTGTCAAACTATAATTTTATATCCATTTAAAGGGATCTACTCTTATTTAATATTAGTCAGATTGCTTTTTTTTCCACCAGAGAGTGAGATAAGATATGGAAGGAAGTGGATTTTTGAATTTCAGCCTACATTTTATTGGTCTTGATGAAGGGAGAAGTCATATGACTTATATATGACTTCTCCCTTCATCAAGACCGGTAAAATCTCTTCATTTTCTTCATGAAGAAAGTTTAGGCTGAAATGTTAGAAAGGTGGTGTTACTGAAATTTTATCTCATCTTTTATCTATTAGCAAATCATAAAACCTCACAATTCAATCTTAATCAACAAAAGTCCATTAACAGCTACCAGAAATAAATATAAATATATATTTAAACTTAAACAAGTAAATCAATTTCATATTCCTTTCATTTACTTTAGCCAGTAACTTAGCATTTTCTGTAATAATTCAAGAAACCATTTTTTCTATATCTTATATCATAATTATAAATAAATCTTTAAAGCTTCATCATTCAAAATTCATTTAAAAAATTCATTAAAAGCTACCTGAAACAACATACTGAAATTTAATCCCATCAAATAATGTCCTACAAATTTCTTATCATCTATTAATCTCCTCTCAGAAAATCCTTCACAAGTTTAACACATTCCTTCCATTTTAATACCATAGCTTAACATTTTCTCTAAAAATACAACAAAAAATAATCCATTCTTTCTGTGTCTTATCCATAAACAAATCTTTAAAGCCTCACCATTGGGTGCCAATTTGCTTCCAGGTCCAATTCAATGTATTGGTTATTCCTTTTAGAGCCCTACATGGCATGGAGCTAAATTACTGTGGAACCGTATTTGCCCCATCACATCAACCCCTCCTACCCTCTCAAGAAGATCCTAACAGTTGAAGAATTCAGCAAGCAAGTCCAGGAAGACAGCCTTCTCAGCCCTTGCCCCTCCCCTTCAGAATATTCTCCCCCTACAGGCAAGGCTGGCCCTGTTTCCTGCACTTTCAAAAATATCTAAAGACCTGGCTCTGCCATCTTGCTTGGGGCTCACAGAAAAGCATGTAGTAGT